TTTTAAAAAAAGAGCGGATGTTCATTGTCAAACACTTCATAAACTTTTGAGAGCTCAGCGAAGCACTAGATGGAAATTGAAAATGATCCTTAGAGGAGCAGTCCTGAGACCGCGGAAAGCCAGCTAGTTTCCCTGAGAGTGAACAATACTATTCGCAGAATGTGTAGTAATACAATTGACCGACTGAACAGGAGTAAGCTCATTACCATTCAGGTGAACATCATTCATTGCCCTATCATGTTGAAAAGCCAAGCGAGCCTCCAGTCTTCGCTTCCTTTCCTCGAGAGGCAGCGATTCCGTCAGAAACACGCCCCTGCCAGGAAAGGTTCGGAGGCGGGGAGCTCTCTGAATAGCAGTTTTTTGAAATCTCGAACACGGCAAAACGATTTTAAGTAATCTATTCTTGCCAGGAATTCTTTTGCCGAGTCTATAAACTGTGACCGGATAACAATCAACTTCTAAATGAGCCAAAATGTTAACAACACTCTGATAATCATACTGAACACGCTCGAACAGTTTCATTCCTAGAACTTCAGGGACCCCACTTATAATTACTGAACGCTTTCTCTCAATTTCCTCGAATAGGCTAGGTACCTCCACTGAGGTTGACTTGGGAGCGTTACTGTTTCCCTTACTCTCATAACTACGTAGGCGTTCCTTAAGCTTTTTGTTTTCTTCCTCTAAATCTTTCAATGAACCGAGACGCTGTCTCAAAGAAACGTTCTCATCAACTAATGCACTTAGCTGGGACGTTATGCTCAGGAGTAGCTTCTTTACACACTCCGGTACTGCTGTAGACTCATTTTTTACAGCTCTGACCAAATCGGGCGAGGGATTCGAGACGTCTGGTGTAGTAACACGTGGACGTTTGCCTGATTTAAAAAAGTGTGAGAGCGGCGTGTCCATGTGTCCAAAGATCAAAGAACGTGAGGTCAACAGCAAAATCCAATAATGGAATCGATCGATCCCTCACGCAATGAATGAGAATAAAGCAATTGAAACAGTTCACCTGGACCGGTCGCAACTTAGCAACACACTCATACGACTCCCTTGCGACTAGGAGTCCCGCCAAGTAGAACAGAATTAAAACAATACTGCAGCGTAGCGAATAAAACTAGTCAGACGGAATGACTAAGCCGCTCAAGGGAACGCAGCCGCTCGCGAGCAGTGCGCGCGCAAGAATGAAATATCGCTCCGGCTGTAGACCGTTCGCGTTCCAACAAGTTTCAGCATCGGCTCATATAGCGGGAGTAACCCAGCAGTGGCGCCGAGACACTGCCAGGATTTATAAATGCTCAAGAATGGCCATCCGATAGCCCTGATCTGAATCCAATAGATTATTCCATGTGGTCGCTATTGGAGAGCAAGGCCTGGTCTGAGCAACACCACTCAATGGGTTCGCTGGAGAGCGACCTGCTCAGACCATGGGAAGAAATACCTTCGGAGTACCTTCGCGCCAGATTGGACGAATTCCCCTTACTGAGGCCTATGTCCGAGTCCGTAAGAGGTTTTCGAGATTTGAATTGACTGTGTGTAATGACTTAATTAACACGTTGCGTACCGGCGCCCTCTGAGATTTTCCTACGCACGTAGCCAGGCGATTTTTTTTCGACTCGCGGCGTGCATCACCATGTGATGCACTTGGCCACAGGGAACGGTTTTTTCTTAACAATGTCAATTCTCTCATATTGGAATCCGATTTTTTCTATAACGTTTTCGCATATGAAGAACAACATATCCGTCTAACTCTCTAAGATTTAGGAGATATTTTGTTGGCCAACTTACACCTCCTCGGCAACTTTTCATTTCCTTGTACCTCACACTCACACTTCTTACTTTTAGTGCTAAATTTTGCGATCATATTTTTAACCGGCCGAAGTGTTCCGGCCAGGCGAAAGATGTGCTTCTTTCTACACATCGACTTTGTGTCGACTCGTCTCATTCCAGGATGGCAACTTTAAGTCCAATGAAATTCTGTTATTGTTTCTGGTAGTGTTGCAGATAGAAGCTTTGGGGAACTCATTCGTGCAACTGTTTATTGATAGCGATGAAGAAGCAGGCAATGAAGATGTTTCGGAAGCTCCTGATGGTTTGCTCGCTGATGCCGTTGAATCTAGTGATGATGAAGATTGTGAAGGGGAATCTGACGCCGGTTGGTACTCGACTACAGTTCAACCAAGTGTAGTACCTTTTACCGAGGAGAGTGGATACCAAAACGACGATGTCTATGCATTCAGCAATTCTTGGTCATTGAAGAATCAAACCGTTATGAATTCGCCAAGTTTTCGACTTGGTCTGTGCTCGAAGAGTAGGAGTTCTACAATTCTTAGCCATTTGTTTTCATATGAGCATCGAGAAGAGGTCTAGTCTTAAAGAATACTGGTGTACAAGAAGTATATACAGCGGATCTTTCGCAGCCAGGCTGATGACAAGAAACCGTTCCATTGAGATTTTGAACCCACTCTACTTCACCGACAAGGTTACTATAATTATTATCGGAGCGTTTGCAAATTCCATTTCTATCGCATATGTCCGGGTCTATTAGTTAGAATACGAGTACAATAATTATTGTCTTGTTAGTAGCGTTAGATTCGTGATTAACATTATGGTGTATGGACGCTCCATATTTTCTCAGCTGTTTGGNTCCAAAGCAGATATGTTATCAAGCATGTTCGAAAACATGTGTTTGCAAATTTTGACTAGTATTTATTACCCCATAAAGAAAGTAGAAATTTGAGTGTGAATTTCATGCATCACCATGTGATGCCCTCGGTACGCAATGTGTTAAATAAAGTGTTGTAGAAAAATCAGTTCTCAATCTATCGTTTATCCGATTTTACAGCGGTGGATATTTGAGCAAGTAATTTCAGCGCACCCTGTAGAAGAAATGGATTCAGAGCCCCGAAGTGGGGAGGGCCAAGAGTAAAAAATCATAACGTTTTCTAAAAACGTCCGTGAATGCGGGAAAGTGGTCAGGTGCAGAACCTTCATCGCAATTGCGGTGCAATGGGAAATTCATGATTTGCTCTGTTCGACGCGTTTTTTGCTGAGAAGCCCGCGTTAGTGTGCAGAGTCCAACTGATCTACGAATAAATATTTAGTGGTCCAATGGGGTCAGGGGTCGTGACTTCATTTTTTGATGTTATAATGGTAAACGCGAGAGATCAGAGCTGGTTCAGTATCATTTTATAGATTTTGCGAGAATTCACAATCATTTTCGTTTCAGCAAGGATGGCCGAAGAAGAAGGAGAGGTGAGTTGAAAAAGGTAGATTCTGATGCAGGCACCGATGATTAGTGTTTATACAATTAGGACTTCCATTTTCCAGACAGGATCATTATCGATGACCACCATATTTCAGGCGGCATCACCGCAAAAAATGGACTCAGAAGCAATCAATCTCAGCGAGTTCCAAGAGAAGGGTCCCTTGGTTATGCAGGCTAGAATGAAAGGGCGAATAGTATGTCTTGCTAGAGTAGCTAGAGGTGTTGCAAAAGTGTTGATTTCTAGAAGCATGCACTCGACGACGACAAATCATTCAGTTTGAAAGAGGTTCAATTCTATCCACAGTACAACGAGATCTGTATTATTGGTTCAGATATAGAACAGCTGGAAGGCGTAAGTTTGTTTTCCAGCATTTACACACGCTCTATATTATGTATCCTTCTGCTCTAATTGTGTTTATTTGAGATGTCACAGCTTTCTATGCTCTCTGGAGAAAAATCTGCAGAACTTGCTAAGGTAGGCTGTTTTCGTTGTTTTCGCTCGTCAGCGGTAGATGGAAGAAGGAAAGACTATGCAAAACAGTGAATGAGAAACGATGCAAGTCGTAGCTATGCCTTTTGGGGAAGAGATGGAAAGGTTCGCGAAGCATTCAGTTGTATAGCTGAAGCATATAGCGTGTATGAAGTGCGCTGAAATAACTCAACAAAGACATGCAAGAAACAAAGTTACATTATCCTTACTATATGTAAGTGAGGCGCTCAGGAATTGTGTTAGGGGTGCATGTGCGGAATTGTTCGAAACTTCGTAGCTCCTGTTCTTCTGTACCGGAGAACCCTAACTTGGATGGGTACTTTACCCAGAAAATAGGAGAGTTCCGCTTTAGGATCCGACTGTAGTGCATAACTGTGTGCCTTACATAGAAGAGTAGTATAGAGTGTTAACTTTCTCAATTTTCTTGATTTGTTTTCTACAGGCTGACTCTCCCCAGTCTTAGAAAATAAACTTTCTTCTACGATTCCTTGTCTTTCAAACATACTGTAATCAGTTATGATCTCAACATTTCGTTGAGCTACAATCAAGATGAATAGATGGGCTTTATAGTAGCAAAGCATTGGATGAAGACCACTGAACCACNTCATATCACGAATTTGAAAGGGCTTGGTAATCATAGTAATCATAGTAGCTCCCTTACTATTAATTAAAGCTCCCTTAGTTAATTGAACCGAGATGCCAACTAATATTACATGCCAACATACAGTTGCACTCAAAATCTTCGGTGAGAAGCTTCTTCAGTCATTCGTTTTAGTCGTAACTACTTTCCTAGTGGATCGAATTATGTGAAATTTCAATATGTGTAGCACAGTTGTGTTGCAAATATGTACCACTATTTACCTGCAATCTGATCATGTTTCAGAGATGCTAAAGAGCTTGAACTTAAAATCAACTGAAAATGCACATGATGATCCTGCCAGAGCCGCTTTCCTTTTTGCCATGTGTAAAGTGTACGAGCGCTAATGATGAACTTAGTAGAGGAGAAAAACTTACATTAGGTGCGAATAACTGCTGGCGTCAATAACTTTGCTTTTGGCGAAGTCTACTATCGCATCAGAGCCTTGCTCTTAGTTATATGGATTTTGCTGTTTGCAGTCGAATTGTGCTGGGTAGAATGAATTATGCTCTAGTTGAACATATCCAAGTTTCACGCGATTTGGTCTAATCAGAAAGAAGTTATGAACGAGAAAGCGTCAAAGCGTTTGACCGAAGACTTTTGAACGCTACTGTATCAACAAACGGGTATGCTAATCTGCATGCACAGTTTCGGTGGTTTACGTAGATAATATTTGACATAATTTCTTGAAGTACTGCAACTGCTTTAGGGAGCAAGAAAGGGCGCTTATCCAACAATGGCAGGAGAGGTGAAAAGGAGGGAAGCGGAAGCAGCTGCCAGAGAGGCCCAACGTGTAAGAGAAAATGAACGTCGAATAGCAGAAAGCGCTATGCGCCGCCGTGCTAGAGATGCTGCTGCTGTAGCAGCACCCGAAACACCTAGTGATAAGGGCAGACATGAGATTACAAGCCCTGAGATGCATTCACAGAAATCTACCCCAAGGAAATCAATGGCCTTAGAGAGGACTCAGCATAGTCAGAAAAGTGTGTCCAAAAGGTCGAGAAGTAGGCAGCATGATGTAATACAGAAACCCTCTGCTTTACCGAGCCAACAATCGTACACGCAAGTGGATGATCATAGAAGAGCTCATGCCCCTGTAGTCATGAGAAAAAAGCCATCTAACGATGGAAGACACCCGGATGCTCTTGGTGTACGGTCATATAAAGCATCTTTATCAAGATCGTCCAAAAACGTAATGGAAGACAGCCGATCACAAAAGACAAGCTCCACTGACTCTGAAGGAAGGTCGGGACGTTTGCTTCCTCAAGCTGCTAGACACAATCAGCAGGATAGTTACTCAGATAAGAGGTCACCCCATCATTAGTCAACGCTACCACTCATCGAATCACTCCACGAGACACAAATCATACTTTCCAAATTAATTTCTTATAAACGCAAAACTAAACTAAATCAATATCCTTGTGTCATTAGAGACAGTGCTTAAAGGTTTTAAAGTCGTCTTGCTGGCTCATTCAATATTCTTTTGAAAATAAATCTATCTAAGCAAACCCTTGTGAAGACGAAGAAGCAATGTGACAGAGTGATTTCAATGGAAGTGATCCGAAGAGAAAGCATATGTTACTTGTACGATTTCTCTTCAATGGAACATCATGCTCAGAGTTTGCTAAAATGTGCTTGCTTCCACAGTTCACACTTCTTCGGGATTGGTACTATCATTGATGTGAGTTCTGCGACTGCAGCAGATTGTGTACGGCATACAAAGTTCATATTGCAATTAACGAAGGGGACCGATTCGTATGACACGTGCCATTTTGGAAAATTTCGCATGCGTGTATTTATCGTTCCTAGTGATATTTCACGATTATGTGCTGCTTGCCATATTCAGAAGTAATGACTTTCAGATGGAAGCGAGCTTGAGATACACATAGGGATCAAAAGTTATTGGAAATATATTGGCGTAACTAAGTTCAATCACCAATACCACCAATCTGTGCGCTTTCGTATTAGGATGAGTATTCACGCATAGGCTGAGCACTAATGGATATCTCTGTAATAAACGTCCATTTTTCAAGAGCTTCAAAAAATCACTGACTTTTACTTTTATGAAATCACCTGCTCCCGCGGTTTTGAATTTTGGAGTAGACATTAAAATCTGCTGCCCCTGACCGGATACTTGGGGTATGCTTGTACCAATACTCAAAGGTTGTGGGTGATTATGAGGCTTTGCGGTACATTTTCCTTTTCCAAAAATATGCTCCGGCATCACATCTCGCTACTCCTCATTTCTACCAAAAACTTGTAACTCATGCACAAGGCATTATATTTGAACTTTTTTGTTCTTTCGTTCGGGCTGTAGTAAAAAGTCAACACCGATTGTCTACATGACCAAAAAGGGCAAATTCATATGAGACTCTTACAGAGGCTCAGTTGCGTGATGAGCTATATGAATATCAGATGCAGCTGTAGGTGAAAGATCGACATAAAGATCAAGGAACAAAGAAACACGAGGAATTCAGTTCTGAATGTTACGCTAGTCTCGAACGGGATTGCTGTACAGCCACCGTTCATGAGCCGATTCAAATAGAACTCGAGAGAGTGGCGATTGGAACAAATCCATCAACTTAACAAATCGTGCTCGAATCTTCTGTAATACAACTCAAAGTTCTTGACACGTAGTCCGTCCGATCAATGTTACTTCTTATCCTCATTATTTTTAGAAGATGATGAGAGCTATCCCAAAGTTGCATTTAATGTCAAGCATGTCATGGATAGCGAGTGAAACCAGTCAATTATAATTATACAGGGTCAAGTGAGATCGGATCTGTTCTTTACCTATTATAGTATTACTCCACACGATCTAGGTTGATAGCCATGTACTCGCACTGCTCCTTGCCATTACCCCACATTCGCTCTTGCAGAAATTCCTAAGTATCTTAGGTATATGAAGCTTTTGCATGGTAATGTCCTTCTTCTTTTCAATGACCCTTTTCTTATATGTTTTTGAATGTTAAGATCAGGTTACCATTCAGTAGCTATTTGCCTCGACTCCAGAACAGCATGCTTTTCTTGAGAAAAGTTCTGATTTAGATTGAAGTTCAGGTCGTATAGCGGAAAGCTGGGCGATAGAAATAAGCTCATCGGCGATCAACTAAATCCCCTCCTTGCACAATGTTGCTCGAGCGTATGGTGTCACACTTCAAGGGTATCCAAAGATACAGAGCCTGTGAATCTGTCTGGGTGTGAACACTTGTTGAAGGCGATCGACATCGGCCGTATAGGTGTTCGACACCTTAGAACAGTGGTTCCTCAGCACCCATTAGGTAGTAATAAAGGATGTAAAATGGTAAACACAGGATGTATACACGCATGATATGTAACCAAACGAAGCTTTATAAAGGCGTTATACAAGGGTATATGGACATGATAATTACTGAATAATTATTGAAGCAGTCGTACAGCATGTTCCAAAAGTATGAGTGCCGTAGTTCAGGAACTTATAAGGCAGAAATAGTTCATTAATTTCGCTCCATTCACTATTTATCAGTTACGCAAGTAGGTTTTCTTGCAAGCAATATGCATAATTACTAAAGTGTGACCCCCCCCCCCCCCCCCCCCCCCNTTTAGAACATGAAGGCCACTCGATGCCACTTGCAATCATTCGCATGCAAGAGGTGGAAGGGCATAGAAATCTCTTCGTGATTTTAATACTGATCGCACAGAAGGTTGTTAAAAAGCACGCAGAAGCAGAGCAGAATCAAGCGAGGTCGAAGTGAGAATTTGAGGGAGAACGCTTATTGAACGAGGTGTTCCGACTTTAACCGGACGACCACGGGCTCAGCGACCGAACCACATCCGAATCGTTCTCATAATAGCTTCTGTAGTATTTGATCGTCGTGTATCTGTCTATTGAACAATAAATCTGACTTCGCTAGATGTGTGCCATTGTAACTGAGATTGTATCGGAACATTGCTAGCTAGCTAGCATCCTCCGCAATTCTTTCCTAGTTCTTTAGTTCGATCCTTCCTGTACTCTCACTCCTTCTTCACAGCTTTCTAGTTTTTATGCTATATTCTTATTCTATAAAAAGGATTGAGGGAACTGTGGCAACGCGATAGCCATCATTACTTCATTAACCATTAGGTCATTACTTCAGGTTTCTTGTCGCGTACTTCCTTGTCTTGTCTCGCTGCGTGCACGTCTCCCTTTTACGCTAGGCGACCAAACCGACACAACTGCGCCATGCTCTGTAGGCCATTTAGAAATCACAATCCTTGCTTCTAGAACCCAATTCATTGAGTCGAAAATAACTTACTTCTACCTATCACTCTGACTCTTATCCTTGCATAATTTGTTCAATGTGAAGTAATTATAGGCACTACTATTGTAGGAATTCACACGCTAATTTTTTTTCTATAGACTCCTTTATCAACTTAGCCCTCCGCTGTATATAACCTCACCATTACTTCAGGCATCTACAGTAGCGCTCAAAAGTCTTCGGTGAAATGCTCTTCAGACATGCTTTTCAGTCGTAACTCCTTTCCTACTAGACCTAATCATGCGAAATTTCTATATTTTTAGCGTGGGTGTATTGTGAATATTTGCCACTATTAACCTGCAATCTGATCATGTTCCAGATATTCCAAAGAGCATGAACTCAAAATCGACCGAAAATACAGATGATGGCCCTTCTAGGTTTTTGTTTCCTTTTTGTCATGTCTAAAGTGTACGAGCGGTATGCCGAACACAATGGATGAGAAAAACGCTCATANGGTGCGAATAAGTGGAGACTTCGACAACTTTAGTTTTAGCAAAATCTGTTATCGCAACAAACACCTTGCTTTATCTGTGGATATTGCAGCCTTGCAGACAAATAGTACTGGATAGGGTGAAATATGCTCTAGTTAAACATATCCAAATTTCGCGCGATTTGGTCCACTAAGAAAAAAGTTGTGAACGAAAAAGCGTCAAAACATTTCACCGAAGACTCTTGAGCGTATTGTACATCACTACCGCTAGTTAGTCATCCCAAGTCTATTGGGTCGTTCCTGAGCGTTTCACAAATTTTTAAGTTTTATTCCGCTTTCCGAACAAACCTGACCAATGATATACATATACCCATCTTCTTCTGTTATCTGTTGTCTTCCTTGTGGTAATTTCATAGCTTGAACTCCTCAAAGATTCTGATTTTTTGGCCAGAAAACCAAAAAACCAAACTACTTATGTTTAATATAGTCATATTCAGTGAAGGTTTTTCCGTTGCAGGGCTTCCGCAACAACCGAAGTAATTGGTATTTGGATAGCGTAATTGGTAATCGGATGGTACGAGATCAGGGCTATATGGTGGATATAGCATCACTTCTTAACTACGCTTTGATAATTTTTGCTCAGTTTTCAAGAATGTATGCGATCTAACTTTGGCATAGTCTAATATTACTCCCTTGCGATTGGCTAACTTTGGAACGCTTCTTCAACTCCCCCAAGAAATTCTGATGAGTAGAGGTTCGAAATATCATCGTGGCTCCTTGAAATTACTACGAACTATACCTCACCTTTGTAATCCACCAAATCGGTGTTGTGACTTTCTTTTGATGGAGATCAGCTTTGGAACTCTTCGAGTAGATTCATCTTATACTTACAATAATCGTTTGTCGGTAAAATTATCGCAAACATTGCAAATTTCGCCAGCAGCCAGTACTCGGCTCACAAATGGGTGTTCTTTATTGCCGTAAAACCGCAAATCACAGACACAAGCTCACGGCGTCCCCAAGTGTATCTACCTCAATTCATGAGGCATTCCAACATAGCTTATTCATCAGTCAAGGTTCTTCAATATTCGTACCAGCTTTCCCATGAATGCGCCCGATCTTCATATTATGTTACTAGATGGGTAACATGAAGACGGCTTCAGCTAACACCATTCAAAGATCGTCATCCATGCCTACTAGTCAGCCCAGCTTGATGTGAAAATATGTTGGAACGAATAGCTGCGGGCTAGTGCTAATATGTGCTGTGTAGTGAGACATTGTCGCCTTATTTTTATCCAAATCAAGAAAAATACCAGCAGCTTTTCCGAGGTAGAAAACAAAGTGAAATGGGCTGAAATGCTCCATCACTTTGAAAGCGACCTAATACTTATATTTGGGTAGTACCCCTAACCTAGCATCACTAATTCAGAGCCCATGCGTGCCCTTAGGAATACACTTTCGAAACCGCAATAATTCAGAAAAAAAAATCTACATATACTACTGATGAGTAGATATTTTTTGCGGCATACCTTACACATGTGTCTGTTGACATATTGGGTTGTCCAAAAATTTTCCGCCGATTTTGAGTACCCTCGGTTCGTCAAGTGTTGTACAAAA